AACATCTAACATACTCTTACTTCTTGACCATCTCATTTCTCCCCTCAAGCTAGGTGGTGTAAATATATTTAACACTCCTAGCTTGGATAGTAAATAGTCATGTTGAGTCCTTTAGTTAGCTGGCTGATTGTGTGTTGGAACATACGCAACCTTGTTGCAACTTTTCCCTGATGAAATGACAATCTATTTTAATGTGTTTAGTAAGCTCACAATAGACTGGATTCGAAGCCAATAGAATCGCAGATTTGGTGTCACTATATATTTGGACTGGTAAATGAACCTCAGCCTTTAGTTCATTCAATTTTCCAATCAACCAAACTAGTTCTGTCACTGTGAAAGCTAAGCTCCTATACTCAGCTTCAGCTGAGCTTCTTGAAATAATGGTTTGTTTCTTAGCTTTCCAAGATACCATAGACTCTCCAAGTTTAATCACATAGACAGTCATTGACTTGCAGTCTACCCACCTTGTTCATATTCTCCCCCTACAGAAAACCCCTGAGGCATAGACATATATATCGCATCTTCTAACTCATCATTCAAAAATACATTATAAACATCCATTTGATATATATGTCAACCTTTGGACACAATTAATGCTAGGATTGCTCTAACATGATCATTTTAACTACAGAAGAAAAGGTCTTCTTTATAGTCTATGCCCTCCTTTTGGCTAGAGCCTTTGGCTATCAACCTTACTTTATACATTTCTACTTCTTCAATTGACTTGTATTTGATCTTATATATCCACCTGCACCCAATAGTAGTCTTCCCTGTAAGCAACTTAACTAACCTCCAAGTGTTAATATCTTGTAATGTTTTAGTTTCAGCTTGCATTGCCTCTATCCATTTAGGATCTTTACTAGCCTCAGCAAAGAAAGCAGGTTCAGTTAGTATAAAAGTTACAACAACAAATTCTTGATAAGACTTAGATAAGTGACTATATGAAACACACCATTCTATAGGATACTTGACCTCTTTGCTCATATTTAGTGACACAAAATCTTTCATCCAAACTGGAGGATGACTCCCTCTTGTAGTCCTTCTATTCTCCATTGTATGAGAACCACTAGGCACACAACATTTTGTTCTTGAACTGTCTCCTCTTCCACTATATCTTATTCAACATTCTCAGTCAAGTTTCTATTTATTTTTGTATCAGACTGAGTTTCTTGTATATTTCTATAACCTTCTTCCTAATTTATAGTCAGAATATCATTATCCAAATGACGTACAAAAGGACCTTTTTCACTTTTATCTAACTCAGTTAAGAAAGGAAATATTTCCTCTCTAAATGAGACATCTATACTCACAAACAAACTATTGAAAGCCAAATCTAGTAAAACATACCCTTTCTGAGTTTCTGAGTACCCCATATGTATTGCAACCTTCGTCCTAGGTGCTAGTTTATCATTCTCAGTTAGCACTTTAGCATATCATAAACAACCTAACAATCTAAGATGAGATATCATTGGCTTAACTCCAAAGATTTTTTCAAATGGAGATTTCCCTCCTAGAATCCTGGTAGGCATTCTATTTATCAAATAAACAGCTGCAAGCACACACTGAACCTAGAACCTTAAAGGAATATGACCCTGAAACCTTAGACCCCTAGTCACCTCCAAGATATATCTATGCTTCCTCTCAGCTACTCCATTTTGCTGAGGAGTATAAGGATATGTCCTCTGATGCACTATACTTCTTTCTTTAAACAAATCATCAAAATACTGAATTCACAAATTCAGTTCCATTATCGGACCTTACCTTCCTTATCATTTTGTCAAACTGAGTCTCAACAAACTCAAGAAAATAACCTAAAGCTACATATACATTTGTTTTATTTTGTAATAGAAATATCCAACTCATTCTTGAGAAATCATCAACCACTGTAAAAAAGAATCTATTTCCATCAAATGTAGATTGTTTGTATAAACCTAATACATCTAAATGAATTAAATCAAAAATTTGACTACTCTTTATACTACTAATAGGAAACATATTTCTGGTTTATTTTGCACTAGGACATATAGTACACTTGTTTATCAATTTATCCACTATATCTGACCTAACAGGAAACACTTTACTCAGCATTTGTGAAGATCCATGTCCTAGCCTCTTGTTCCATACATCCAGTTCCTTTTCTGATATTTGTTGTATCTCTAGTTTTTTCCCTGGTACAACAAATCCATGTTGTTTTTGCTGATCATTTGACACATTCCTTAGCAGTAGGTACAAATCATTATCCTCTTTATCAATTTCCCTCACCTTGCCAGTGTAAAGCTCCTGAAATACACAAAAATGAGGGAAAAAAGTGACTGAGCAATTTAACTCCTTTGTCACCTTACTTACTGACAACAAATTGTACTTGAACTCAGGAATATGATAAACTTTAGTAATCACACTTCTTGAAGATATGTTACTCATTCCTGTATGAGTAACATGAAACTTCTCCAATTGGCAAATATACAGGTTTTGACTCTTTAACCTTTAGTACAGACTCACTAGAAAGCATGTCCATGTTTGCCACCATATGATTTGATGCCACAGTATCTACAATCCACACCTGACTATTTTCTGAAACAAACAAGACTTTACCTGCAGTGTTAGCCTGAGTTTCCTGTGCAAGACTTATATCTTCTGCTTTTTGTCAAACTTCCTGATTCTGCTTTAGTATTTGGAGAATTTTATTATATTGATCCTTGGTGAAATTACACCTTTATAACTGAGTCGAGCAACTCTCTACATTGCTCATATTCTTATTCCCAGGTACATTAGTGTTACCTCCATAGCTGAAAGACAACCTGCCAAACACATCCTCATAGTCATCCTTTCTTGTGCTATTAACATCACTTCCAACCATGTAAGCTCCAGATCATGTGTTTGTATTCACTTTTCTTTTGGACTTGAAATTAGTTGGATATCCAATTATCTTGTAAGATTGATCCTTAGTGTGTCCCTTGCACCTACAAAAATCACACACCACTGGAAAATTTCTTTTGAACTTGTTAACTCCTTGAGAGCTAGTTCCTCCACTAGTTCTTGAGTACATTGCCAGAGGATCCATTCCAGTGTTCCCATGGAATTGAGACCTATACTAGACCTACTAGAAGACACCTTTTGACATTCATCATTTACCATCATGGCATATGCCTGATTAATAGTAGGAATAGAAACCATTAATAAGATCTGACTTCTATCCTGACTAAATGATTCATTCAACCCCAGCAAGAACTGATACAATTTTTGATAATTTACAAAACCTTTTGATTGTTCACAATTACACCCAGGGGATGGAACTAAGGTCTCAAATTCATCCCATAAGGTTTTGAGCTTAGTGAAGTATACTGATACAAAATATGTTCCTTGTTGCAGGGTTGTGATTTCTTTATGTAAACTGAAAAATCTTGATCTATCAAGTTGATCAAACCTTTCCTTTAAGTCATTCCGCATAGCTCGAGCTAATGATGCAAATGATACCCCTCTTAACAAGCTCTTTGACACAGAATTTAGAAGCCAAGACAAAACAATAGCATTCACTCTCTCCCATTGACCTTTTCTTCACTTACATCTTCTTGTTTGCAAGAATCATCTACCAGTCCAATTGTATTTCTTCCAACTAATGCCACCTTCACTGACCTACTTCACAATGCATAGTTCTCGATTCCAACAAGCTGAAACGAGATTTATCATGAATTCAAGAGAGCAATAGAATTGAAAGAGACGAAGAAAAGTCTTTGTATTCAATAATATGTCTTGTACAATCAACTAAGCTATGTATTTATATACTCACTGTAACTAACTAAGTAACTAACTACTTTTCTAACTGTTTTCTTGAAATAGTCTTAACTAACATCTAACCTACTCCTACTTCTTGACTTATCTCATTAGAATCTAGTGTATGTAATTTCAAGTTGTATTTGCAAGTCATATATATGTGAAGAGAATATAAAGGATATGTTGTATGTTAGAATTCACCCTAGTTTTATTCTAATATTTTTTATTCAATGGATTTTCTTTTTTTATTCTACTAATAAAGTCGTCCAATTAATTGATAAATTTACTCTCCCTATTTCTATTCTTGTTAGTAAAGTATAAAATTCTGAAATATTGTATCTCGAAAATATTTATTTAATGATGTAAAATAATTATAGCTAAACCTTAATTCTTAATGAAATTTGATTTACGGCTTAATTGATTTTATTTTTGGTAAGTAGATACTTGGCTTTGAGCATGATGATTAGTACCTCTCCATTACTATGATCTCATAATTTGGTCAGATCATGTTATTATTAATCACCATTCCCATAATCGACATATAATCTTATTCACATATCAAAGTCTAGTATATGTTTGACTTAATTAAGCTCTAATCAAAAAATAAATAAATATATTTCTGAAATATCATAAATTGTAATTAAATATCCTTTGATATATTTTTAGGACACTAATGTCCATACCATTTAAGTCTTGGGGTGTATATACTCTTTTGGACTAAAGGAGGAACATGTGTCTCAATCTTAAAAGTCCACTCAAAATTTATTTATAACAAGAGTATTTAGTTATTATTTGTAATAGTTTAGAGTATTTAGTTTTTTTAAACCCTAATAAAAACTCTTGATCAACTGATGGCATAACGGTTCTTTCTATGCTTTCTATATCTTTACGAACGTAAATTTGTCAATAAATTTTATTTTTGTTGAAAGGAAATTTAAATTTGGAGTAGAAACCAAATTTGTTTGGTATTTGATATTCATTTAACTCATCAAGTATGATTCTCAGTCTAAATAGCTAAAATAAGTTTTGCACTATTACAAATTAATAGAGGTGTTTGCTAGCAATTTTTAGAGATAATGGAGAACAATATAGAGAGAGCATAGATTTATGAGTTCATGAATACACTAATCCGTTCAATGTAGATACTTTTAACTATAGCTTATTTGAATTGAGCATCTGAAGTAATTTCATGCAAATCATTTCAATCAAAAACATACTTTTAATAGTAATTTCATGCAAACCATTGCAACCATAAACATACTTTTAATTATTCATCATTTGTCAATGATAAAGCAGATACATAGATAATTTAAATTAAGATAGCAGTAGATTGTTTACTTATTTAGGTAGCAAACCTTTGTACTACATATAGCCAAAGTAACTACCACAAACACACATAATATTACTTTCACCACACATATATTATATATATGTGTGTGTAAAATTTAGTCATCCAAATTCTTGAGAGCCCAGTTGACCTTCTGGCTCTGACTGTAGCTATTTTGGTGGCTTCCACCAAAACCTAGTCCATGTCCATGACCATGACCATGACTTCCATGATGTCCCATGGCCATGGACGACATATGGGCGTGGGATGATTGGTTCATTCCACTACCATAACCACCATCACTATGGACCATGCTTGTGCTACTTGAGAAGTTGGTTGATTCATGTGGCATATGGCCATGACTTCCATAGTTGCTATGGCCATGGCCATGGCTTCCATAATATCCGCCACTGTGTTGGCTGACCATCATGTGATTATTGTGAGAAGACTGAGAAAATGGCATGGCGAAAGGCCTCATCATTTGTCCATGGTTGCTCTCCGCGGAATAGTGGTTGTGTTCATGAGAGAATGATTGATGATGACCAAGTTGATTTTGGAGAACCATTATTGAATATTGATGATGTTTGTAGTAGCTACACAACAATTAACTAAAGATGTTTGGTTTTTGCTTGGTGAGAATGTAATGTTGAATGATGTAAATTTATAGGGTTTTAGGAATGAAGGATAGAGTAAAAATAAATAAATAGATGATTCTAATAAGATAAGAAATGCATCTCATTCTCATTTTTGCTATAAATGGAGCACATTTTAAGGTCAATTGTACCTCTTTTTTTTTTATGCATTTAAAATATTAGCACTGAGTTTTATTCGCCAATATCAACTTGTAGATGCATGGAATCCATTATGCTATATATACGAACTTATCATAACATGTATAGGAATATATTTATATATACTTTGAGTGGTGCATTTGTGTTGTTACCAGCCAAAGGAAGCAAATCACTACCCTTAACCTTAAAAAAAAGTAGGGTGAACACAGAATTTAAAGACTTTGAGTGCACCAATATTAAAAAATTGAAATAATGGCGTCTATAGCTAGATTCTAATCTAGGTCTCGCGGGTGGTTAATCTTGCTTGTACCAACAACACAATGACACTCCTATGTGCTCCTCGGGCTGCAATGTTAATTGATATTATTTTCTATTAGTTTCTTAAGACATACATACATATATACACAAGAGTAATTCCGAAGTTAACGGATGCACCTACACCTCGACATATAGGGGTGGGTCCGCCTCTGCTTAAAAGGATCGTTTTGTAGCTGGCTAACAAATCACGTATTTATTGATTCATATGATGTTTGGTAGATTAGGAAATAAGTTTTTAAAGTATAAAATTAACACAACGTTTGGTTGTTAATTTCGAACTCAGCATAACTATTATATGTATAAGTTATCATAAAATTAAATGTGTAATATTTATGTAGTATAGAAGGTGGAATAACTAATAGTCATATTTTTATTACATTAAAACAGTTAAAAATTCATAAAAATATACACCAAATAAAGTTTGCCAAAAGTCATAAAAAATATATATACACGGACTTGCGATGTTATACATTAGTTATACACTAATTATACATTATGATACACTTTAAAAGTTGTATATAGCTTAACCATACATGAAATATACTTTAACTATACATAAAATATATATTAACAAATTCAATTTCGATCAACTCAGAATCACTCTAACCAGTCCTAAAATTTAGATATGAAATCGTCTCGATGTTTAAGTCTTTCGGTAAAGTAAATGGCCAAGAGACCACTTTACATAATTTCCCTTCTATTTATGACTATTGAGACGCTTTCTGTGAATTATAATTATTGATCATACGCTTACTTTATGTAGCTAATTAATGGAATTGGAATATTAAAATGAAATTAGTTAGCCTGTCGAGTTAAGTTATAATTTAAGTATCATCGATTATGACTTAGAGAAATTTGGGTAGTTAATTAAGTTTGTAGACCAGTACAAATATTATAGGGATGGAACAGAGATTAGGTTTTGAGATAAAGCCTTATACTAGTTGTCTTAACCATAACCATATAAGACTTATAAGAAGATTGTTCAGTATTCCCTCCGCTTCTATTTAGTTGTTATTATTTTAGATGGCGCACTTATTAAGAAAATATATATATATATAAGTTTATTATTGTAGCCTTATTAATTAGTATTCTCTTAAACTCAAGTTTTCGATAAATGGATATGAATTAATTTAATTTGATCAATGAACATAAATTACTTACTTAATTTCTTTATGTTGGTCAGATGCATACTTTCAAGGCTAATAACTCTTAAGGGGTAAAATAAGAAGACTAGTGTCATTTATGCATTGATTTTGTGAAATGACAAATATACCCTCCGTCCAACAATACTTGTCCACTATATAAAAATAGATGTCAAACAATACTTGTCCACTTTATGAAATTCATGGATAATTTTACATAGTTCCTAATTTACCCTTATCATTAATTATAGTCATTTTCTTACTACATTTTTCAAGATATTAGATTTATTATATTCAAAGGGTGATATAGTAAAATTACCATTCTATTTATAGTTTCTTAAGGGGTGTGCCAAATTAATAGTGAACAACTATTATTTGACAAGTAAAATATTAAAGAACCTTTATTTTTAGTAAGAACGACATGTAAATAGAAACGGATAGAATACACATTGCTTATTTAGGTAGGAGATCCTTTGTGCTTTATACATATAAAGCCAAAAAGCCACTACTGAAACACGCATTCTATAAGATCATTTATCAAAAAAAATTCTTGATTTAATCACAACCCATATATATACTCTTGAGAGCCCAATTGAACTTCTGGCTCTGACTATAATTACTATGATGGCTACCCCCATGACCATGACCATGATCGTGATCGTAGTGGTGGAACCAGGAATTTAATAAAGGGCTTAAGTCATCGATAGCTTCTTAAAGTTGTCCGCATAATTCATTTAGACACCTCAACTGAGACTCTTACCGATTAGACACTTTAATATTAATAAATATTTATCTATTAAACATAAAATAATAATTACCTTTACAAATATTGTGCGTGTAATGCACACTCCTTATTTTGACAAAAATTACGAATAGAACTACGACACGTGACATATGGGCCCATAATTTTAATTTTAAAAAATAAAGAATATTTTACTTCCTTTAATAATATATAAAAAAAAAATAATATATAAAAAATTAAATTGATAAAAAAAAATCTTTCTCCCCACCCTCACCCCCACCTAACCCCCACCCCATCTAACTTACTGC